TACTATACTGAATGTACTTCAATTAGTTAACATAACAAGTAGACTTGTCTAAATGATTCATTTCAGCACTTTTCCATCAAAAATCTTGTTGCAATCAACTTCTTGCCATAAAACTTTTTGATTTTGACGGGCTGCATTTTCTGATAGCATCCTGTTCCATCAACCTTTTTTTTCAACAGGCATGGCTTTGCATATAGCTGCTAGCAAACCTCCTATAACAAAGTTTTCATATCTCCTGCATTCATTGAAGGAAGGAAAAACTCTTAATTTCATCTCTCTTTTTTTATAAAATACAGATCCAAACTCAATTTGTTTCTTATTGATTTATTGTAATTTGGCCACCACAGCCTCCCTCAAATTTAAATGAAGTTTGAGGCAAATCATTTCACAAAGATCAACAATTATCTCTCAGATTTTAATGGAGATTCCATCCATAATACTTATATGCCTTTCCAACCCTCACCCCTCTACCACAGTACCATCATACCTAGCAATATTTTTCTTCTGAATACATTTCAACCCCTCTGAAGTAGGCATGGGTAGATGGGGACGAGGGGTGGTACCCTGGTGCAGTTGCACCCTCTTTAAATTTCTGCTATACCCAAAGTTTTAAACCAACTGCCTGACAGTGGCAACATCATTTCTGTTCAGACAGCAGAAAGGAGGTCATTTGAATAAATGGCTCATTAAAATCTATCCGATTCCATCTCAAATCTTCTTTCTGCAGGCGTTAATGACTCTATCTCCTTTTTAATAGGCTTGATGTTCCACTAACCAAGCTAGCCTTTCTTTTGTAATTCTGCAGTCTGTTACCTGTTCTTCTTAATGTAGCTTGTATTTCACAGCCCTGCAGACTGTTTTTAACTCATTCCAGTAAAGTAATATTTGTTTTTGCTTTGATCTTAAACTGAATATTATATCCCTAGGCCCCTAACATATTAGTAAAGCTTCTAGTTTCTTTTTACCTGCAGAAAAATATGTGCGGTGGGATATGGAACGATGCACATCACTATCTGCACCCATTTTCAAAATTCTAGATCTGCCCAGAGTAGCCCAACTATTCTATTCCCATTTTAAGATGGGGTGGGCAGAGAAGTATAGATACCCAGATGCTTTCAGTTATTTAGGTGCCAGGATACCAGTAATGTTGTGATTTAGAGAGTAAAGGACTTCAGTAGCAGTTAGGCATCTAAATATCTTTACAAACATTGCCCAAAATTACATCAGAAATATGCTGCAAACATGAAACTGAACCCAAGTCTCTTGGACCCAGACCGGCCCCCGAAATAGTGGACTGTTGTTCCACTAGACACATTGAGTCCTATGGAAAGGCATGATGTAACGCATAGGCATATATTTAAATACATTTTATTATTCACCAAATAGATTCCAGTTGTTCCATTCACATAAATCTCAACCATGCTTAAGTCTCAGGAAACTGGTTAAAACCATTTGGTTTTAACTGATTAAAAACACACATACAGTGCACCTTAAACCCCATTTTCCAAAGGGTTTTATAGGCACGGAAGCAAATTCAATGCAACCTGGAGAGTTGCTGTTCTCTGGCAGGCAGGACTGCTTGGGACTCCAAAAAACGTGAGTCTTACACCAGGTTTCTCTTTTATACATCTGCTTTCCCTTCCTTGCTCTCCCTCAGATATAACTCATCTCCTGACGCCCCAGCCTCTTCCTCCCAACCCACCAGTGCAGACAGACTGCACTGCAGGAGCCTCAAGGGTCTTTTTGAAGTTCTCAAAGCAGGTAAGTATCTCTGCCTTCCCCTCCATGCTCAGGGGCACAACCTCTGTCTCCCCTTCCATCCCCTCCTCCTCCAGTTGCTGCTACTTTCCCTGCTGTCCCACTGGGGGACAATTCAGAGTTGCTCCTGCCCACTTGAGCCAGGCTGCATAGTGGTTGGGTTTCACTGGGAACAGCAACAGCAGCCATGGGGAGGACGTGGGTTTCCCCACTCTGCCCAGTTCCCCCAAGAGCAGGCACAGGAAGTTGCAGCCACTGTGGTTGCCCTAGGTGCACCCACCCCCTGCAGAGCCCAGCTGGGGTGAGCAGGAGCAGCTCTGAAGGTTTCCGTGCCCCTGGGACAGCAAGGAAAGAGGCCAGGGCTGGGTGGGAATGGAAGAAGGGGAGAGTGGGGAATGTGCTTCTGGGCATGAAGGGGAAGCAAGGATTCTAGTCCACTTTGGGGACTTTTTAAGGGGAACAAGCAGAGGTAGGAAGGGGGTTGTTGTTACTAGGCCTGTGTGAAGCAGCTAGTATTCAATTTGGATTAAGATGCGGCTGATTTGGGGGACAGTGATTCGATTTGGTGATTTGAATCACTGTCCTGAATCAATTCAGCTGAATCTGATTCAGAGGCTTGGCTGCTGCTGAATCTCTGAATCTCTGAGTCACCCAGGCCCATCCCCTACCCGCTCTCCCAGCCCGGCAATGGGAACCCTGCCCGTCCCAGCTCCTGGCACTTTGAAGAAAAAAAAAAAGCCCCAACTCACTGGGTGCTGCCAGGTGAGGGGGCGATCCCCACTGCCCCCCACTACCCCAGGCTGCATGGGGGACTCTGCATGAGCCCCTTGACCCCCTGCCATTGTCCCAGCCCTCCCATGGCTGCCCCGCCTGCCCCAGCTCCAGGCCTTTACGGAAAAAAAAACCCCAAAACCCCAAACTCACTGGTTCCTGCCCAGTGGGGAGGACGATCCTTGCTGTCCCCTGCTGCCCTGTGCCACCTGGGGGGCTCTTCCATGAGCCCCCCCAAAGCCCTGAGGCTGCTGCAGGAGCTGGTGAGGCTGGGTTTTCTTTCATTTTTTTTTCTTAAAAGGCTGGAGCTGGGGTGAGTGGAAGAGCCATGGGGGTGGGCTGGGGGAGCAGAGGAGAGGTCGGGGGGCTTGTGGCAGAGCCCCCCATGCAGTATGGGGCAGTGGGGGGGCAGCAGGGATTGCCCCCCTGCCTGGCAGCACCTTGTGGGGGTCAGGGGGCACTGGGGGAGCTGAGGGAGCAAGCAGGGGGTGGGGCCTGGCAGGGGTCCCTCCATAGTCCCCTTCCCCCTCCTCCAGCCCCCCCTCCCTTGCCCCTACTTACCAGCTCTGAGTCTGGCTCCAGCTCCTTGCTGCAGCCAGCGGGGACTGCCCAAATCATCAAAGCTCTCCAAATCTTTTCCGAGGATTTGGAGAGCTTCAAATTGATTCAGAACTTTTTATTGGTCTGTGATTCAATTCCGATTTGGAGATTCGGCCACCAAATTGGGCCGAATCTCCTCTAAATCAAATCAGCACCCCAAGCTTCACATGGTCCTAGTTGTTACTGCTACTAAACAAGAAAAGGCAAAGGCTTGGTAAAAACACTTAAAAACTAAGCAAACTTACCTCTAAAAGTTAAAAATGATATGCTTGACATGGCTGACCATTACAATTTATTATGACCTATTGCATATTTTACTTGACTCTTAGTTCATGAGTCTTTTTTCTATCTGTCAGCAGAAATAGAAAAAATGGTATAGTTTTCCCAAAAAATGCATAAAGAAATCTAACATCTCTCCCAAGGAGATAGTTCATAGAATCATAGAAGTTGGGTCGGAAGGGACCTTGTAGATCTTCAAGTCCAACCCCCTGCCTGGGCAGGAGGAAAACTGGGCTCAGTTGACCCCAGTCAGGTAGGCATCGAGCCGCTTCTTAAAGACCCCCAGGGTAGAAGCCAGCACCACTTCCCTTGGAAGTCGGTTCCAGATCCTAGCCGCCCTGACTGTGAAGTAGTTCCTATGGATGTCTAATCTAAACCTACTCTCCAACAACTTGTGGCCGTTATTCCTTGTTATCCCGGGGGGCGCTAGGGGAAACAAGGTCTCCCCCAAACCCTTCTGGTCCCGCCTAGTGAGTTTATAGATGGTCACCAGGTCCCCCCTCACCCTTCTCTTGTGAAGGCTGAACAGGTTCAGGTCCCGTAGGCTCTCATTGTAGGGTCTGCCCTGCTGTCCCCAGATCATGCGGGTGGCCCTCCTCTGGACCCTCTCAATGTTGTCCACATCCCTCTTGAAGTGGGGCGCCCAGAACTGGACACAGTACTCCAGCTGTGGCCTGACCAGTGTCGCGTAGAGGGGGAGGATCACCTCCTTGGACCTATTTGAGATGCACCTGTGGATGCATGATAGGGTCCGGTTAGCCCTGCCGACCGTGACCTCACATTGTCGGCCCATGTTCATCTTGGAGTCAATAATAACTCCAAGATCCCTTTCTGCCTCCGTGCTCTCAAGAAGGGAGTTTCCCATCTTATAAGTGTACTACCGGTTACTACTGCCCAAGTGCAGCACCCTGCACTTGTCAGTATTGAAACGCATCCTTTGGTCCAATATAAGGTATTGCCAAAAATCACTTGCTTCTGACAAAAAAATCTTTGATAAGACAGAGAAATCTCGTGAAAATTGAAATTTCTGTGAAAAAACTGTCTATAAATTGTGTATTTTTGGGAATGTTTCAATCAGTTCTATCCATTAGTGACATAGCATGAGCTAAATCTGCTGTTACAAGACAGAGACCTTGTGTGTCTTAGGGTTTACCTGCATTTGAAAATTGATGGGAATATTTACTGTGGTTTAAGTTATTTCATAAGAGCTATTGTGGAATAACTCCCCATGTGGGCACACTATTCCCAAATAAAAATCCTTTTTCTCTCCAGAATAAGTAATGCATTTCCAAGAATATTTGTGGAATAATTCTTGTGTAATTGGTTTGTCCAGACAAATTCCCCATGTAGACAAGTCCTTAAAATACAAGAATGAAAAAAATGTGAACAGGGGACCAGATTTCCTGACATGCTGCAGCTTCTTTGGTACAAAATAGTCTCAAACACAATGCCTGGGAAAGAAGAATTCCAGTAGCATCACCTGACTGTGCAACAGAGCCAGAGTGTTTATTGATCTGATCTTGTGTGACTTCTCCCTTAGAAACAGAGAGGTATGAAATCTGGAAATATCTCACTCTTTTAGTTCTTCTGATGAATTAATTGAATTTGTTAACAAAAAAGAAATTTTGACATGTGCACACAAAGTAGGTTAAGATTATAAAATAAGATTTTAAAATGTAACCTCTGGTCAGTGAGTAGAATACATGTAAGTCTCTGTGTCAGAAATAATTTCCTTCTTTTGTGACTGATTTTCTATAGCATTCAAGTAATATTTTAATTCCTTCATTACCTGAAGAGTAAAAAGCAATGGAATAATGTCATAATCCTTCACGACTACCTTACTGAGTCCTTTGAAAATGTAGGGTCAAGAAAAACGTATTCAGCTCAATGATCTCATAACTGAATATCCAACAAATATAAAGGCAAAGGAAACAGGCTTATCATGACTAATGTTCTGGATAAGAGGAAATTTGCAGAACTGCCAGAGTGCTCATCAGAAGTCTTAACTTTCCTACAATCAGTTCCTTCATACCCCTGGTAGCAGTGACAAACAAATTTCTTTGACATCATTTCCAGATCTGTGCTCGACGCTTCTCCCCTCACTGTAAATTCTTGGTCCTCTGAAATTTCTATTCTAAAGTTTTTAGAATTCAAATGCAGGTAGTCCAAGGCTGTCCACTTTTTTCGTACACATCTCCCATTGTTGTGACAAAGATGCCTGCTGCACATCTCTGCTGCTGTGGTTACATTGATAATGTAGACCCCTAATTCAGATGCAATGAATTGTTTCACCTTTGTACAGTTGCCCTGCAAACCGGAGAGAGAAGTTAAGTAACATGAGGTAAATTGGTCTACATTTTTTTAAACTATTAAATATGCAAAATGTAAGCAAGTAAACAATATTAAAACTAAAATCTGAATTAGTTAAAATGATTTTAATAACTTAAATTACAACTAGGTTGTTGTGACGGGCAACTTCATAGCCAGATCCCAAAGCAGCCAGCCCACCTGCCTAGGGCAGTCTGGCCCATCTCATCTGCCACAACTTGGTTGTTAATTTGATTTATTCAGTGGGAGGCTGCCCATTCCTTGCTCCGATGTCAAAGGGGAACTACCTGCAGCCCAGGCCTCACAGATGGCATCCAGTTTATGATTACTTCCCCTGGCCTGAGGCCGGGGCAAATTCAGTCCATAATTGGGCTCCATTTACTCTCCCACTCACTCCGCGCCCCCTCTCATAGGGACTTTTTGCATACCACCATCCCAGGCCACACTCCACTGCCCTAGCTCCTCTTGAGCAACCTCTCATGGGCTTTTGGGCTTAGCTACTCTCTCCCTGGTACCACCACACAGCAACTTCAGTTCCCACGAGTTCCCCTACTCTCTGTGGCATAACCTTACACCAACGCTGGACTGCATTTGCCCCAAACTCCTCACTGGCCAACTCTATACCATGCCCAACCCTGGGGTCTCCTCATCATACTTACAACTAGCTACTCATGGGGCTGGCCCTGGGGCTGGCCTTCAGGCTTACTCCCAGTTTGGCCCTACTCAGTATGCCCCTGGAACTATCCTTCAGGCCTACTCCCAGTTCAGGCCTACTCAGCCCCTTCACACGCACAGCCCTTCAGGCCTACTCTCGTTCAACCTCACACCATGTTCACCAACTACCCGCTCTGGGGCCTCTGGGATCTCACATCCGTGCTGGGTTCAGGTACCTACAAATGAGCATACCTGGCCCCACTACTCCCACAGGACTCATGATTACCCACCAGATGGTGAGGACTGGACTTAAGGCACCCCTACCCACCTTTCACCAGGGAGGTTAGCAGTCCTGGCATTTAGTTGAGACTGCCCCACCACAGGCAGTCCCACCAGGCCTCCCTACCCTGGCAGGGTGCAGTTTTAGGTCATGCCCAGGACCAGGAGCCTTCTCCATCCCCATAGCTCCTGCCCTTGCCTCCAGGATGTTCTTGAGCCATAGCTCAGCCATCTGATGTTTCTCTTCCAGCCACTGGCAGCAAAATGCTGCTTCCCCCTATATAAACTGGGTTGTGAAATGCCTGTGTAATCAGGCACCTGCTGGCTGCCTGCCTCAACCCTTAAACTGTGCTACCACAGTTGTCTTATTTAAGAATTACAACCTGAGAATGTCCCATTAAGGTCTTGGAATCTGACTGGAGCAACAGATGTGTGTTCAAACAATTGGATTCAGCAATTAATCTCATTACTGATAATTCATTTTATCTACTTGCACCTGACAGGTTTTCATTCCCGTACCAATCAGCTTTCCCATTATTGCCATCAAAGCAAAAGTAGAGAAAAAGTTGTGCTTCATACAATGTTTAGGGCAAAGTCAAGAAAAGCTCCTTCTTATGATAAAGTCTGAAGCCCAGGCTTCTGTATATTCAAGGTAAGTGTTGGGGCCTCAACCATCAGCACCATTTATCTACCCATGATCAAGCCTGACATCATAACATGCAAAATGTCCTCTATTAAAGCAACATAGACCGTACACTATAAATGAATACATGTACCATTTACACACCAGCTTCTCCTGAACATTCCAGTTAACTGGTATTATACGAATACTTGAAGTATGTAACCGTTTTGTGAATTAGGTTTCAGCTGACTTCCTGCAGATCAATCAAGTTGGAAAGGAATCTCTAAAAGCTTGCCAAGAGTGTGGGAGCTCTCACACAAAATGCTTGATACTGGCCAATGGCAACCTTTAATTACTATAATAACCTGTCCAGTCATGAAAATTTACACTATTCATTTAGGAGACAATTTTTGGACACTAAATGAGCTGTTAGATTAGCTGGAATTAAAAACTCAAGAGAATTTAGACATTTGGGAAATACTTTTAAGATTGGTGAATGAAGATTGTATGCACCATTAGTGCATTTAAATTACTATAAAAGCACAGACTTACCACTGATGAAGTTAAATTCATGTCTCCCCAAATAACAATGCCAGCAGCTCCCAAGGCAGCACTTTCTCCAATAGTGTTAATAAGATCTTGCTACAGTAAAAACAATAAAGAGATTGCTCTTAGGCTAATTCACTGCTTTCATAGTTTGTTTTTTCTAAAGCAAGGTAAGTGTTATTTATACAAGACTGCCACACTTCCCTTCTTTTTCAATGTGACTTAAACAAAATTTAAGGAAGATTGTTTTGAAAAATTATCAGTATTTGTCCCAAGATTTAATAAGCCAGAAACAATGATAATTAATAAATGTTATCTAAAATGTAAGTTGTTCTTGCAAATGTGCTAATTGCTAGGCTAGTGATACTGATTTTTTTTCAAGCAGTAAACAAACCAATAAAAATGGTTTTATAAAAAATAAAATACATGATTTTAATTTCCTTTGTTAATTTTTTATTTGTGATACTTAACTGTTTCCTAGATGTAGTATAGTTTATTTAATAAAAAATCATCACAGGAGAGCTTCCAGCAGAGCTCAACTAGTGAATTTTTGCTAAAAAGCAGAGATGGGCATCTCTACATTCTTAATCAACTCTCTTCTAGCCTTGATCTTATCTAATTTGAAAGATGTGACTCTAATACCATGAATTGTTCAGCTGTTTCCACTACAACATTTTACAGGCCCTAACATACAATTGGCTAAATATTATGAATGGAAACATGCTAGAAGAGAAAGCACTGCCCTTGTATAATGGAAATGAAAAAAAAATGTTTATGAATCAGTCTATGTAAATTTAGGAATTGCAGTTTGGGTTCATGATCTCTGCCTGTTTATAATATTACTAGCATCTCTTACTGTATATTTCCATTATATACCACCTCAATTAAGGGTTGAGGGTCTGGTACCTGATCATCTGTCACTTAATGGACCATCAGCAACTGAATAAGCACATCCCTAGCAGACAATGGATACTTCAGACTCAAAACTTTTGATTTACTAGTGGAAGTTAGATACTTTAAGAAACAAAGGGAGAAAAAGACACAGTATACTGTGGGCTGGAAATGGAATAACTATAAGAGACAGACAGGATGTTAGAAGTTTCTGTTAAAAAGCAGAACACAACAAGATGATGAGGAAAAAGATGCAGAAGGGGCCTAAACTCCTAAAAGACACAAACGATGTGTGGCTATGTGGCACTGCAGACCCATCTGTAGCCCCACAAACCACATGTGCCACACATACAGGCATTTGCTGTGCTACAAATTAACAGTGTGTTGTGGGGGTGGGGGTTGACACTGGAAGATCCCAGTGTCAAAAAAAACCTGTGCCTAAAAAAAGTGGAGTGGCATACATGGCAGTGGCATGCAAAACCCAAAACTGGAGCCTGGCCAGCTGGAGCCACACTCCAGCTGCTGGCCAGGCTCCGTGCACCAGATCACGATTACTGGAGCCCCAGGAGGCTCCCAGGATCCCAGGTGCTGGCCCCAGCCTCCCTTACCCCACCCAGGGGAACAGCCATGTGCTCTGGGAACTGTGTGCCACTGCTATTTCTCCCTGGGGAAATGCACGTGCGTGCATATTTGGATGTGGCCTTTGGGCACATCCAGAAGTGCAGTTCCCCCTGTAACTCAGAACACTTTGCAGGAAGTGTTCTGAGTTACAACAATCCCAAGACCAAACAGAAGTTCACTGTTCGCTTCGGGGGGGTGGAGGAATCTAGCTGCTGGCTGCAAGTGCGCAGCCACTTGCCCCTAGCAACAACCCTTCCTCCCTGCTAGCCTGCACTGTTTTTGTAGGAGCAGGGAAAGGGATCAGAGGAAACTCATTCTAGGGGTTTCCCAGCTGACACTGGAGGCTGAGGTGGGTGAATTGGAGCCCCCCCACCATCTCAAGGGTGGGGGGGGGTACAATACAACCACTCCACCCTCCAGCTGGAGCTGAAAAAACCCCAAACCAAACTCCCTCCATTCCCTTCCCCCACTCCCATTCTGAAAACAGCTTGGAGGCTGGTAGGCAGGCAGATACAAATACAATGTATATGTATATGTTACAGAAGATACTATGTTGTGAAACAACTTCATCTGACCCTGCATGCAATGAAGGGTCAGATTTTCAACCAAACGGCCATTTTTGAAGCAATCTGGAGCCATGCAGTTGTGTTAGGTCATGGATATAGACTGCTTTCTGTGGCCAAATCAGGCAAAAACTCTGATTTCTGTATGAGCCCAAAATTTCACAAGTTTATCAGAAAGGCTAAGGAAACTGAGTCAGTGCCTCGTGTGCAGGTGCTTTTTTTACATTGTATATGTATAGGCATAGGTGTGTGTGTGTTTGTGTATATATGTGTCTTTGTGTATCTCTTGTGCTTTATCTATGAGTGAAATGTATGCCTAGGTGGCTTAGAAACACCTTTACAAAGTCTCTTTGATTTAACTGTCATGAAACCCCAAAGCAGGAATCAGGAGTATCCACAAGATCGGTGCTCTGTAGAGCGCACTCATGAGTTACTTATGAGACATTCACCTCCCAAGAAGGTGGAATGAAAAATGTATGCATTTCCAACCAAATTCCTGCTTCTGAACTTTGATATTTCATTGATTCCCCTTTATACCCTATGGCTGGATCGCTGAAGTGGCTCCGAAGCTTTTCTGAAGTGGTTCGGAAGCTCTGAACCACTTCAGAAAGCCTAAAGAAGCCAGCACTTCGATCCGGACATGCTGGTGTCTGAAGCTTCTCCAGATCCAAAGCATGGTCCGAAGCCTCGCACAGCCCTAATGATCGAGTCAGGGCCTCTCTATCATTCCTAACAATGGCCTACCTCAGAAAGAAATACCAAAGGTTCATCTCGATAACCTAGTCTGGTATAGACAAATACAGGCAGAGCATAATTATGGGATGTCATAGAGGAGATCCTCATGGATTCATTGACCCTAAATTGTGAGAAGCGTAATATGTTTTCACTGTTTCCGAGAGATTTCTTAATGCCAATGGAAGGATACAGAGCTTCACTGCTATCCCAAAGCCAGGAAAGTTCATTGTTCCTCAAAATTTCACTCTCTGGGCAAGAACCAGTGTAGTTCTGGTCATAGAAATTATAATTGTGACAATCAGGATATAAATAATATCCCCAGAGGCCTAGGGGTCTGCTTTTAATTCCTAACTCAATTGTTGCCTTCATGAAAGCCTTTGCACTTTCTTCAAAGGAAAGTTTGGCCAAATGTTCAATGTCATTTGCTGAAATATTTCCTTGCATTTCAGAAATGAGTTTTCTTGACTTTCGTCTGTAAACATCTTTTGTATTCCAGTTGCGAGCCCACTGAGGCCTCCAGTATTCCCAGTCTATAACAGCTAATCCACTGAAGTTCTCAGCTGGAATGTAATAGTTAATATCTTGGCCAGCTTTTTCCAAATGAGTTTGCAAGCTGAAGTTTTGTGGTAGACCACCATTAACAGGGATTTCCTGTGATGTGTACCAGGGGTAAAAGCCCAATCTGTTGAAATAAAATATGGTCACATTCTGCCCTCTTGCCCTGGCTAATGGGCTTCCAATCACATGGAACATTTTCAAATTCAGCATCACATTGTATCTTAGAGAGCACAGATCTGTGGGAGCATTCCAGGCAGCTATAAAAGGCTTTCTCTGGAAGATTGGTGGTCGTGCTTGTTTCACTGCAGAAGAGGAAATCCACAGAAGTGTAATCGGTAGCCATGCGGTGAGCTGAGCCAGTTGAACAATGTGTAATAGTAACCCATTTTCCAATAACAGTCTCATGATGTAAGAGGCTACAGTAAATATATCTCCTGGTTGATTTAGGTCTGTAAAACATAAGAGAAGAGGCATTATTATTTGTTCTTCATAAGGTCTTACCATTGTTTGTTGGATCTAAGGCATCTACTACAATCACACTATATGAAAGCCAACATTTAAGCAGTACTTTTAACATATATGTTAAAGACAATAGACCAAATTCTCAACTGATGTAAGTCAGTGTAGCATCATGGGAGTCAATGAAACTATTGCATAGAGCAGCAGCTCTAACTCTGGGTCATTCAGCCACATCCTAGTCTCACTGAAATCAGTAGGAGTGTTGCCATTATTTCACTGGATCCAGGGGTTGTCCTAGTGTCCTTGGCCAGTTCCAAAAAAAAGGCGGAATGCACCTAAAACCAGACTGAGGTGGATTTTATACATCTTTTTCCACCTTTGCACTCCCAAGCCTCCCCTCCTCTGCCCCACCCGCATTGGCCACCTGGAAATGCTTAAAATTTACTAATGCCTTCGTATTTGGCCTGACAGTCCCCTATGCACCTACAGTCACCATTCTGCTCATACCTAGAAGTGCCCTAGTATGAACTTTGCTCCTGCCTAAATCTCATTAAGAACCAGAAACTAGGCAGAGCAGTACCCAAGTCCCCTGAGGGGCCTAAGCCTGTCGGCATGCTCTGAGCACATCACACACACACACAGAGGATCAGGCACTTCTTTAATGTTATAGTGCAATTGCTAAAGGAGAAGGTGCAACTGTCCAACCTTTTCAAGATAAACTAGTGATTAGAACCTTCCATTTTTCCAAGTAGTCACAGCACCTGTCTAGGAAGAAGTTTGTGGTTTGGTCTCTTCTCCCAAGATTACTACCAATAACTAATCCCACTCGAATGACTGTTTAATGTGTAAAATGCATAAACAGTCTTGGAGGCAGGAACCAGAACCCTGGTCTCCACACTCCCACCTGTGTCCACTAACCACTAGAGTAGGAAGCCATGGTCTTTCTTGCTTGTTCTTCTTCTGCCCCCATGATGCTTACATTCCTTTCTGCCCGGTGGCATAGCTTTAACAAGAAGGGTAGAGAGTAGTGATATCCTAAAGTCTGACTGCCTGAGGAAGAACTAATCACACATCTCCCATGTTCTGGATGAGTGCTTTTACCACTAAGCTGTTATATAACAAGTGCATGGCAATGTCATGGCAGTGACACCATCACTTCCTGTGTTTCAGAAAAAAAGAGTGAGCCCTGATCATTTCTTTCAAAGAACAACTGTAGGTGCCTACCCTCCAGAGAAAGCTGGTCAGCCTGCAACCCTGATTAAGGGGCCAAAGTCAGGAGAGGAGTAGCAGTTCAAACAACTGACTATTGTTAGCATATCCTGGTGGCTAGCTGCACATATAGGATTTTGGTATTGTCTTTATGAGGTGCCTTATTCTTCCCAGACATTTATATCCTAATTCTTGAATTTGACTTCTACTCTAGGAACCAGGTACTCAAGCATTAGATATTGAATGCCAAACATGTTGCTTCCTAAGTCTTTTCCTCAATCTAGTTCTCTGCCCCAAAATGTTTACTTCTTAATTACCCTCATTCATCTCCCTTTCAGTACTTTTTTCCCGGAGGTGGAGACAATCCCTGAACTCATGAGTTAGAATCAAATTTTACTCTCAGCCGCACTGTCCAGCCCTTTTAATTTTAACAAGGGTTAATTTATCTTTAATGGAGCTGCAAAGATAAAGGAGACAGGAGAGCCCTTTTGTTAATTTCTTTTGGTTGCTCCTCACATGGATATGTAACGATTTGTATAGTTGCACGGTTTTTGCAAAGAACTGCAAACACATTGAGCTTGTAACTGGTTTAGAAGGAAAAATGGGACTAGTTACTTTCAGTCTTGAAGCAGATGCTAGTTATTCCTGTTTGTCCTGGAACCCCTTCAACCATTCTGCACAGAATCTTCTCTCACTCTCTTCTACCTGCACTTGTCAACTTTGTTTCATATAAAGTCTCCTTAAGTTGGTTTTTTCTGAACTCTCACACCAAAGTTAAGCTTCTTACCATTACCTTCAAA